GTATTACGACGTGACTTCACAGTCAAGCTTAACGTTGCCTTTTTGTGGACACAAGCCGAAAGAAAACGGAGTCGACGAGCTCCTGTTGACGAGGGATCGAAGACAAAGCTGAAACTGTTTTACAGGGTTATTAAATGGGTCACGTTCTGTATCTTAAAATATGTTACAGGGTATTCATTTCAATCATTTTTTGTCTTAAACCAGGACACGTTTCAGCATGCCCTTTGGATTTGTTTATGATCATCGAATAGGTTATGATAGTAATTATTTTGATAATAATTATAATAAATATATAATTTTATAATAAAAATAATACCAAACAAGTTTTATAATTGAGGAGTTTTGAGGAAAGTTACATAGAAAAGGGAAAATCCCCCTTTTTGACCTAGGTGAAAAACCCGAGATCGGGGGGGGGGGGAGGTGATGGGGGGAGGAGGGGGAGGGAAAGAAATTGCTAGTGTTAATTTAAACTAATATTACATAGAGTTATTCAAGCAATAAGGGCCATGATCGTAACGTCTCCAAAATATTCTTGAGAAGTATTTTAGCGTGTCAAGTTTTGTGAGTTTTTTTATCCAATCCAAAATAGCTGCGCTAAATTTATCTAATCAAAGTTTACGTCAATGTGACGTCATAGCAAACACATGTCTAGCCATGCAAAAATCAATTTTGGATATTTCGTCTTCCTGTGAAAGCTTTAGCATGGTTGGAGATATCAGTTATTGCGGGAAACCGAAGCCGAGGGATATGTCTGAACTCCCCTCCNAAAAAAAAAAAAAAAAGAGGAAAAAAATTCAAAGGAAAAATTGAGAGATACGTACTTTCCAAAACAGTTATGGAAAACAATACTTGTGTCACATTAGATGTTTTATCAAAGTCACAAGCAAGCAAATTCTCAGTTATATTTCAATATGCATTACAAAATATCTGTTCATTTTCTCTAACGCTTATCTGGAAGATCCTGAGCCAATTCACTTTAGCTACTTGTAGACTGATAGACCACCGACTTTGTTTATTTAGTTCAATAATGATAAATTGCATATTTCAGGGGTTTTAACCTCAGGTGATTGTAATCAAGAGGATTAAGACAACTGAGGTATTTCAGCGTACCTTTCACGTGTTTTTTCTTTTGGCGATTTGCGGTTAGCTGCATGTAAGGTATGAAATAGTTGTACGGAAATACGCATTTCTTGGTCTAGAGTCAGTACTGGCCCAAGACAGATATAAACAGTCAACGATGAAGCACTTTGAAGTTTCCGTGAGGAAACATTTGCTCTTTGCGATGCCACGAGGAATATTTTTCCGTTCATGCACACCTTGCGAGAGGAAACTGGTAATATCGCTATTTCCGGACTTTCGGCAGGATTGGCAATAAGGAAATATAAATTACATGCAGTTTTATTTAATTTCTCGATAAAAGTATCTGTAATTGAAGCTAATTGAGTTTAAAACCAATACGATAGGCAATACATTTTACGACCAGTGAATTCTGGCAAATCATGATTGAGATGTAATTAACAGAATTGAAGATACGTCGCTTTTCTATCGAGACAACCAGATAGCCTTTGGGCTGATTCATGGTTGGGAACCACCCTTTTCCTTTTATTTGGTAAATCAACATTTTTTGCATTAGCACGTTCTTAAAGGTCGCCAATCGTTATCTCAGGGTAGAACTGTAAGAGGGGAGATATCGACCCTGCAAATCAAACCAAAGCCGCATGGAACATAACAAAACTTTATTGTTATAGCACACTACGCTCTTGCGACGTTTTTCCCCTTCAACAACCGTCAGCGCGCGTGTGTAGTGCTTGTACGTATCAGGCGCCCGTTTCCCGAAGGTCTCGAAAAATTTTCGTACCCAGAAAGCCATATAGCAAAATCTCAAAATTTCTCATTACTAACCTGTTTTTTTTTTGTTGTTTTGTTTTTTTTTTACATCTTCTTAACACAACGTATGAACAGAGGTTCCTTTCATCAAGAATTTTCAGGCGTATACACCCTCTGTTTTTAGAAATAGATTACCTAAAAATGGCTTTGTGGGCCCGAAACGTTTACGGGGCTTTCGAGAATTGGCCCAGTTCATTATAAGATGACGCCTAAACAGGATCGGGACGGGATCGGAGCAAGACAGGATCGACAATTAACGTCGGGACGGTCAAACTATTGGCCATGCAGGGTTTCATGTTAACAGTTGTTTGGTCAGTATCCAGTGGACACAGAGCTGTCTAATCAACTAAATGTTCGCAAAATTTTCTTAAATGGCGCCAATGCTTCTTACCTCTCTTGGTAAGAAAGAAACTTAAAAGAATTAACGCGGTATAGTTGAAACAGCTGAATGGTATAGCCGGAAGACTAGAGAGCTTAAGACGAAATCCGATCATAGGCAATCGAGCAATTTCAGTTTTAAGTGAACAAAAAAGCTTGTACCAGAATAATTCTAAGTATATTACAGTCCTTCTTACATTTTCTAAAAGCTAAAGATATTAACAGTGGCCTAAAATAACACCAAATACAATTTCCCATGGAAACTCGAGAAAATAATTTCAAAGTTCAGAGAAATTGTGCAAAACGCATAAAATTTCATCATCAGTTTGATTTCACCAGTACTTTTAAGTGTTTCATATGAACTTCAAAATTTGTTTTCGAAATCTGGTGTTGTCAGAAATGATTTCTTTTGAGAAGATATTTAAAACAGTCACGCAGAAGTTTGCAATACAATGTAAATAATCTCGGTACAAAGATTTTGTCCACTTTGTCCACCTACTCGAACTTCTGGTGGATTCCCTCTCAAAACAACTTGATTCCGGTTATCAGCATGCCAGCCAGTGGTCATTTAACCTGAAAAATGGGCGTCCTAAATTTATCAGCAGCTGCTACTTTACAAGGTTGACTTTGATTTAATTCACATCATTCTTTGAACAACAACAACAAAAAAATGTCACCGCAAAATATTAGCTTAGCCATGTATCCATTGCGGACCTATTTTTGCAAGGGTGCGATATAATAGCCTTATGTTGTCGGGATTAAAGGCTTGAGCTACTTAAAGAAAAATCTGTCACGCAACGTATATATGAATAATTTGTGCTTTGTGATTAATGAACATCGTGGACATCAATAATAAAGTCTTGTGAAATATAATGGACTTGTTTTGCACCGTATCATCCATACTATATTGCTGCGTTTGTTTAGTCATCATGAATCATATGTACTGGGTATGTAGCACAAATGTGTATGGAGAAAGGCCTCTTTGCTCTCCAGTGTCATTTAGAAGAATCCATGTGAAATCATTCAGGGCTAGGTGTCTAGATGTCATTTTGTCGGAAAGGCAAGTACTCTAGGCAGAATTCTGTAGAGGGATTTAAAATTTAACATTATAGCAATTCAGAACGAGGAAAAAAAATTACATTGTCTCCTTCCCCTGCTGATTAAGAATCACTCAGCCAGGCATTGTCTTCAAGAATTGGATTATGAGCTTGAAATTTCTACGGCGTGATATTATCTTTAATCTTTAATCTTTAATCATTATTTATACACGGTAAAAACACCAGGTAAAAAAATTACATAATAATGACTAAAAATACAAATCCTAACATTATATTAACTTACATTAATATGTCACTTAAGAAAAATCCTGGTTTCCATGAATGCCTTGTTTAAAAATTATGGTAGAGAAGGCGTTCAAATTTGTTTAATTTGTTTAATTTATATTTGACCAGACAAAAATAATTATTACATAATTCTTGAAATAACGAGTTCCAGCTATTTCTCTACATATAAAATAAGCTTCGGTTTGCAGCATTTGCGTTAGTGCCCAAGTAGAAATCTACTATTCGCGTTAGTTCGGCATCAAAATTCTTTTTTTGTGTGTGAGTCCTATTGCCTGTGGATCAGTAAATCAGTCACCGATACCGGCTTAAATCCCTCCTATCACCTGGCACATAATCCCTTTAAGAGATTTCCATTGACTTGTCTGCTGATCTGCAATAATTGTAGTATCACTTACATGCATCCACGTCAATACTGATATTTCACGGATTTTTTGCCTTCTTGGTGGGTGTCTTATACGGTCACAGAGCATATCAATTAAAGCGAAGCTACTGAGGAACCCAGCCTTGACGGATAGAGGATCTTTTGTTCGGAACATGCAGGAAATGTTAGCAGTGTTTAATAATCGCGTTTATTCAGCCTGCATTCGTATCCCTTCAGTCACGCGATGTTATTTTATTGCAGTGGATCAATTTGATTTAAAAATGTCAGACAATTGTTCTTATAATTAGTACAAACAATATCGATTAAAGAATCTTTTGCCTGGATTGAAATCAAAGGAAATGTTATTCCATTAAGGATTACGGGCGCGTAAAAGCCAAAAACCAAACCAAAACAAAACGAAACAAAAATCAACGACAACAACAAACAAGGAAATAGACAATTAGTTTTTGAGGTTAGGACAAGGTCTTAGGTCTTAGTTTTTGAGATACGGAAGAAGCTAGTGTAGGCCTTAGTTGTGGTCTTAGAGCGTAGTTTTGAGATTGGGAGGTGGTCTTAGATCTTAGTATTTTAGTTAGGGAAGGGGTCTTAGGCATTTCAGATTGGAGCTAGAGGGTCTTAGTTTTTAGGTCTCAGATCTCAGGTCTTTTTTTAGACACCTTGCAGAAGGATCTAGATTGTTTCCAGTCTTTTTCGTCCAGTCTTATTGTTGTCCCTCTGTCAATGTCAAAACTATCAATTGTCACCAGTGCAAAGGCATGTATGTGCTTGACAGCCAAAGACATTTTCTTGGTAAAAATAAACATAATTAAGTCAGGGAATGCTTGTATAACGGTAAAAGATAAAATAACCTCCAACAGGGTTTACCAGATGGCAATGAACTTACACACGTATTAGTAGAGAGAGTATCAAGACTATTTGACAACATAAGTTACAATATATTGTACAGCAATATTTATTTTGATCATATTTGTATTTGTTTTTGTTTTTGAAACGAGATCAAAACAATTTTTTTTTTCCAGATAGAGCGCTGAAAGTAAACATCATGACCCATTTGTGATCGCCACGAATTATCAGTTTCCTATATTTTTTGATTTTTCTGTCGGGATTTGAAGTTCGCCATGTCTGGTAAAGATTTCCATCATGTGCACGAGCCATGCCTTGTCATTTCAACAAGTTTGGCTGTGAGCATAATAGCCTCGCAATATACGTGATGAGTCGTTTATCTTACTATTCAGGAAACCTCCAAGGTTATCTGAGAGTAAAGGAATGAGATTCTCGTGACGTTTTTGCTCTAGATCTTTGCAAATATAGATTGAAGATAATGAGCGGTCACCTTTGAGTACTTGTAACAGCTAAGCAGGAATAAGTCGCTCTTTGGTTTTCAATTGTCTGGTTCCCAAAGCTGAACTCTGGAGACCTTGTTTGTTCTGGTCGCTGCAGATCAATAGTGAGGCGAAGGCGCACACACACGCCTGAATGATTTTTGTTAATAGTTTTGACATGATAAGGAGTGAATTGCAATCGCATTTGATATTTTAAGCACCTTAAAGGGCGTCGTAATTATTTACTCGGCGCCATTAGTCAAGCACTTCGCTGGAGTCTGCAGGCAAACAAGTTTAAAATGAGGTCTTCAGCAGTTGCTTTGTTATCTCTGGCAGTGTTCGCTTTATCCGAAGGCTTAACTACGAAGGCCGAGATGGACTTCGCTTCTGGTTTCCTTCAAATGCTGCGCATGGATCATGCTCCGAATGTATCTTGCCATCGCCACGACATTCCACGGTACATTATAAATCTATATAAGGGCAAGCTCGCGAAGAAACCATCTGACTTCGAAGACACCGCTTTAGAAGGAAGCACCACGAGAATCTTGTTCCCTCAAGGTAAATTCACCGGATGTCTAAGAGTTTTAGAATTACGCCGCTAATTCGATTGTTAATAAATCCAAGCAAGGTGCCAACATGTGTCTTCGTGATAAATATGTGCTAAGATGCAACTAATTTGTTTGTTTGCTTTCATGATCGATTCTCAACAGATCTTAACGAGGAAGGCAACAGCATTTCACTGCAGTTCAACCTGTCTCCGGTTAGCTTCAATGGCAGCAAAATATTACAAAATGCTGAGTTACATATACAAGTGTTGCCCGAAGCTCGTGGGACTGTTGAGGTCAGCATCATTCGCGCCGAGCAGTCAAGGGAGTCGAGGAATATTTCAGACGGAGATAAAGACATAATATCATCTCGAGATTGTCAGAAAATGACCAAACACAGATGGATGGTGTTCAATCTCACTCGAGTGTTACAATCAGAGGTGAAGAGGCACAGGGGAAAGTTAAACGTTTTTATTTCGACGACCCCTTCGCTCAGAATTGGTTCAAAGGGAAAACGAAAGCCTTTCCTTGTTGTTTCCACTGAGCCAGACAAAATGCTCAGTCTTGCATCACGCAATGTTCTTGGGCTAAGGACGCGCCAATACGTGCCAAGTAACGTGACCGAGAACATTAGCGGTGGCGTGACTACACAGGCGCAAAAAGCACGCAACATGAAAAGGACAAGACGTTCGGAGCAAGAGGTAAACATCTGCCGAAAACGCCGCCTTGCAGTTCGATTCCGCGATCTTAAATGGAACGGATGGATAATTGCACCAACTCGCTTTGGATTTCACTACTGCGACGGTTCATGCCCAGGAACTCTCAGCCAGGACTCTAACCCTACAAATCACGCTATTATGCAGAATATTCTACATCATCGGCTCGGCAAGAAGGTGCCAGCGGCCACCTGTGTTCCAACCGAGCTTCACTCGATGAGTCTACTCTACTACGACGAGGATAACACAATTGTTCTGAGAGATGTTCCGAATATGGTGGCATCTAATTGTGGCTGTAGATAAATTCCCACGGTGAATCATCTGCCTCCGAAACTATCAAGATGCGGAAAAGGGTTACAAAAAAGAAAAAAAAAAAACACTGCCAGACCTTTACAGAATGCTTGCCATGTATGCAATCCTGTATATCGTTAGCAAAACGTTTTTGCATATTTTGCGTTTTCTTGTCTATGATAAGGGTCAAAATTCAACTTCAGGACTGGCAGGATGCATTTTGACACTTGATCCTATATGACTTTTTTAACGAGCGTGTTTAACGGGACTTCACTCATTTCGACTCATTTATTAGAACCTCTATGAGGTCAGATACGTCTTCAGACGATAAACTGACATTAAACGGACGACGGACATTTGAAGAATTAATCTGCTAAGGCCAGATAAAGCAAGAACAAGAGTTTAAGAGTACATTATTTAAACCTCGGACATGAACCCTGAATTCTAGTTTAATCCGGCCTTAACACTAGCAGTGCTTAGTTTTATGGAGCCTTCCACGTGTTTTTCAACTTTTAATATTGACATTGTAAAAAAAGGCTGTCAACATTGCTGATTGCGCTTCTTAATTCGCCACTACTAGGGCTGAACCAATCTTTAATATTTTGCGCCATATACTCAAACTAGACCAGTTCAGTAATTTGAAGGGGCTCTTCTCAGGCCTGCCCACAGACTACCTAGACTTCCACTACTTAGCTAAATTTAAAAGTTTTAAGTCTCAAATTTAATAACAAAACCAAACCAAAACACAAATGTGGAAGGGCCTGTTGAGACAAACGAGGCAAGGCGACTTCGTTATCAGATTAGAGGGTCTCGATGGCGTGGTGGCTTTTCCGGCTAACGGTTAATTTTGGCATTTTTACGGCAAACAATTTTTTCAATAAGTTAAAAATTAATTTTGATTACTGTTAAACATATTTAAGGTTTGAGGACCATTTCGGAACGGAAAACTGATATAACTAACAAGCCACAAAACGAGACGCAAAAAAGTCTTGAAAAGAAATCTTGAGACTTTAGAATTAAAAATTCAAAACTTTCCGGTTTTTACGCTTTAAGACTGCATTTTATCCCGTGTGACGGCTAACGGTTAACTCCGTTAAGACCCTCTGATTACAATACATTTCGAAGCCGATTAGATAAGGTGAAATAATTTTCGTATCGAAAAGTAGAAATACACGTAGACTGCCCATGGCAAATGTCAAAAAAAGAAAACAAAATACCTGAAATAAGACACTGGTTGAATGCATCAACCAAAATATCTGCTCGAGGATGCCAAGCATCAACATTTTAGTTTAAAAAGACCAGCCTTAGCTCAAAGTGCAAATTCTCATTACGTACTGACATGCAATACTTTCAATAATAGTTTGAGAATTTCGTTGTATATCGAAACAGTAAATCCTGGATGATTTCTTTCGCTTGTCTGTGGTCCAGTGTTTGAAGAATTAAGGTGTCAAGGGATGATGTATACGAATGGTAAGGCAAGGCTTCAAAAGCCAAATAACTAAGGGAAAAATGACTGATAAAAATAATACAAAAATAAATACAAAAAAAAAAAAAAAAAAAANTGAACTTCAAAATTTGTTTTCGAAATCTGGTGTTGTCAGAAATGATTTCTTTTGAGAAGATATTTAAAACAGTCACGCAGAAGTTTGCAATACAATGTAAATAATCTCGGTACAAAGATTTTGTCCACTTTGTCCACTTACTCGAACTTCTGGTGGATTCCCTCTCAAAACAACTTGATTCCGGTTATCAGCATGCCAGCCAGTGGTCATTTAACCTGAAAAATGGGCGTCCTAAATTTATCAGCAGCTGCTACTTTACAAGGTTGACTTTGATTTAATTCACATCATTCTTTGAACAACAACAACAAAAAAATGTCACCGCAAAATATTAGCTTAGCCATGTATCCATTGCGGACCTATTTTTGCAAGGGTGCGATATAATAGCCTTATGTTGTCGGGATTAAAGGCTTGAGCTACTTAAAGAAAAATCTGTCACGCAACGTATATATGAATAATTTGTGCTTTGTGATTAATGAACATCGTGGACATCAATAATAAAGTCTTGTGAAATATAATGGACTTGTTTTGCACCGTATCATCCATACTATATTGCTGCGTTTGTTTAGTCATCATGAATCATATGTACTGGGTATGTAGCACAAATGTGTATGGAGAAAGGCCTCTTTGCTCTCCAGTGTCATTTAGAAGAATCCATGTGAAATCATTCAGGGCTAGGTGTCTAGATGTCATTTTGTCGGAAAGGCAAGTACTCTAGGCAGAATTCTGTAGAGGGATTTAAAATTTAACATTATAGCAATTCAGAACGAGGAAAAAAAATTACATTGTCTCCTTCCCCTGCTGATTAAGAATCACTCAGCCAGGCATTGTCTTCAAGAATTGGATTATGAGCTTGAAATTTCTACGGCGTGATATTATCTTTAATCTTTAATCTTTAATCATTATTTATACACGGTAAAAACACCAGGTAAAAAAATTACATAATAATGACTAAAAATACAAATCCTAACATTATATTAACTTACATTAATATGTCACTTAAGAAAAATCCTGGTTTCCATGAATGCCTTGTTTAAAAATTATGGTAGAGAAGGCGTTTAAATTTGTTTAATTTGTTTAATTTATATTTGACGAGACAAAAATAATTATTACATAATTCTTGAAATAACGAGTTCCAGCTATTTCTCTACATATAAAATAAGCTTCGGTTTGCAGCATTTGCATTAGTGCCCAAGTAGAAATCTACTATTCGCGTTAGTTCGGCATCAAAATTCTTTTTTTGTGTGTGAGTCCTATTGCCTGTGGATCAGTAAATCAGTCACCGATACCGGCTTAAATCCCTCCTATCACCTGGCACATAATCCCTTTAAGAGATTTCCATTGACTTGTCTGCTGATCTGCAATAATTGTAGTATCACTTACATGCATCCACGTCAATACTGATATTTCACGGATTTTTTGCCTTCTTGGTGGGTGTCTTATACGGTCACAGAGCATATCAATTAAAGCGAAGCTACTGAGGAACCCAGCCTTGACGGATAGAGGATCTTTTGTTCGGAACATGCAGGAAATGTTAGCAGTGTTTAATAATCGCGTTTATTCAGCCTGCATTCGTATCCCTTCAGTCACGCGATGTTATTTTATTGCAGTGGATCAATTTGATTTAAAAATGTCAGACAATTGTTCTTATAATTAGTACAAACAATATCGATTAAAGAATCTTTTGCCTGGATTGAAATCAAAGGAAATGTTATACCATTAAGGATTACGGGCGCGTAAAAGCCAAAAACCAAACCAAAACAAAACGAAACAAAAATCAACGACAACAACAAACAAGGAAATAGACAATTAGTTTTTGAGGTTAGGACAAGGTCTTAGGTCTTAGTTTTTGAGATACGGAAGAAGCTAGTGTAGGCCTTAGTTGTGGTCTTAGAGCGTAGTTTTGAGATTGGGAGGTGGTCTTAGATCTTAGTATTTTAGTTAGGGAAGGGGTCTTAGGCATTTCAGATTGGAGCTAGAGGGTCTTAGTTTTTAGGTCTCAGATCTCAGGTCTTTTTTTAGACACCTTGCAGAAGGATCTAGATTGTTTCCAGTCTTTTTCGTCCAGTCTTATTGTTGTCCCTCTGTCAATGTCAAAACTATCAATTGTCACCAGTGCAAAGGCATGTATGTGCTTGACAGCCAAAGACATTTTCTTGGTAAAAATAAACATAATTAAGTCAGGGAATGCTTGTATAACGGTAAAAGATAAAATAACCTCCAACAGGGTTTACCAGATGGCAATGAACTTACACACGTATTAGTAGAGAGAGTATCAAGACTATTTGACAACATAAGTTACAATATATTGTACAGCAATATTTATTTTGATCATATTTGTATTTGTTTTTGTTTTTGAAACGAGATCAAAACAATTTTTTTTTTCCAGATAGAGCGCTGAAAGTAAACATCATGACCCATTTGTGATCGCCACGAATTATCAGTTTCCTATATTTTCTGATTTTTCTGTCGGGATTTGAAGTTCGCCATGTCTGGTAAAGATTTCCATCATGTGCACGAGCCATGCCTTGTCATTTCAACAAGTTTGGCTGTGAGCATAATAGCCTCGCAATATACGTGATGAGTCGTTTATCTTACTATTCAGGAAACCTCCAAGGTTATCTGAGAGTAAAGGAATGAGATTCTCGTGACGTTTTTGCTCTAGATCTTTGCAAATATAGATTGAAGATAATGAGCGGTCACCTTTGAGTACTTGTAACAGCTAAGCAGGAATAAGTCGCTCTTTGGTTTTCAATTGTCTGGTTCCCAAAGCTGAACTCTGGAGACCTTGTTTGTTCTGGTCGCTGCAGATCAATAGTGAGGCGAAGGCGCACACACACGCCTGAATGATTTTTGTTAATAGTTTTGACATGATAAGGAGTGAATTGCAATCGCATTTGATATTTTAAGCACCTTAAAGGGCGTCGTAATTATTTACTCGGCGCCATTAGTCAAGCACTTCGCTGGAGTCTGCAGGCAAACAAGTTTAAAATGAGGTCTTCAGCAGTTGCTTTGTTATCTCTGGCAGTGTTCGCTTTATCCGAAGGCTTAACTACGAAGGCCGAGATGGACTTCGCTTCTGGTTTCCTTCAAATGCTGCGCATGGATCATGCTCCGAATGTATCTTGCCATCGCCACGACATTCCACGGTACATTATAAATCTATATAAGGGCAAGCTCGCGAAGAAACCATCTGACTTCGAAGACACCGCTTTAGAAGGAAGCACCACGAGAATCTTGTTCCCTCAAGGTAAATTCACCGGATGTCTAAGAGTTTTAGAATTACGCCGCTAATTCGATTGTTAATAAATCCAAGCAAGGTGCCAACATGTGTCTTCGTGATAAATATGTGCTAAGATGCAACTAATTTGTTTGTTTGCTTTCATGATCGATTCTCAACAGATCTTAACGAGGAAGACAACAGCATTTCACTGCAGTTCAACCTGTCTCCGGTTAGCTTCAATGGCAGCAAAATATTACAAAATGCTGAGTTACATATACAAGTGTTGCCCGAAGCTCGTGGGACTGTTGAGGTCAGCATCATTCGCGCCGAGCAGTCAAGGGAGTCGAGGAATATTTCAGACGGAGATAAAGACATAATATCATCTCGAGATTGTCAGAAAATGACCAAACACAGATGGATGGTGTTCAATCTCACTCGAGTGTTACAATCAGAGGTGAAGAGGCACAGGGGAAAGTTAAACGTTTTTATTTCGACGACCCCTTCGCTCAGAATTGGTTCAAAGGGAAAACGAAAGCCTTTCCTTGTTGTTTCCACTGAGCCAGACAAAATGCTCAGTCTTGCATCACGCAATGTTCTTGGGCTAAGGACGCGCCAATACGTGCCAAGTAACGTGACCGAGAACATTAGCGGTGGCGTGACTACACAGGCGCAAAAAGCACGCAACATGAAAAGGACAAGACGTTCGGAGCAAGAGGTAAACATCTGCCGAAAACGCCGCCTTGCAGTTCGATTCCGCGATCTTAAATGGAACGGATGGATAATTGCACCAACTCGCTTTGGATTTCACTACTGCGACGGTTCATGCCCAGGAACTCTCAGCCAGGACTCTAACCCTACAAATCACGCTATTATGCAGAATATTCTACATCATCGGCTCGGCAAGAAGGTGCCAGCGGCCACCTGTGTTCCAACCGAGCTTCACTCGATGAGTCTACTCTACTACGACGAGGATAACACAATTGTTCTGAGAGATGTTCCGAATATGGTGGCATCTAATTGTGGCTGTAGATAAATTCCCACGGTGAATCATCTGCCTCCGAAACTATCAAGATGCGGAAAAGGGTTACAAAAAAGAAAAAAAAAAAACACTGCCAGACCTTTACAGAATGCTTGCCATGTATGCAATCCTGTATATCGTTAGCAAAACGTTTTTGCATATTTTGCGTTTTCTTGTCTATGATAAGGGTCAAAATTCAACTTCAGGACTGGCAGGATGCATTTTGACACTTGATCCTATATGACTTTTTTAACGAGCGTGTTTAACGGGACTTCACTCATTTCGACTCATTTATTAGAACCTCTATGAGGTCAGATACGTCTTCAGACGATAAACTGACATTAAACGGACGACGGACATTTGAAGAATTAATCTGCTAAGGCCAGATAAAGCAAGAACAAGAGTTTAAGAGTACATTATTTAAACCTCGGACATGAACCCTGAATTCTAGTTTAATCCGGCCTTAACACTAGCAGTGCTTAGTTTTATGGAGCCTTCCACGTGTTTTTCAACTTTTAATATTGACATTGTAAAAAAAGGCTGTCAACATTGCTGATTGCGCTTCTTAATTCGCCACTACTAGGGCTGAACCAATCTTTAATATTTTGCGCCATATACTCAAACTAGACCAGTTCAGTAATTTGAAGGGGCTCTTCTCAGGCCTGCCCACAGACTACCTAGACTTCCACTACTTAGCTAAATTTAAAAGTTTTAAGTCTCAAATTTAATAACAAAACCAAACCAAAACACAAATGTGGAAGGGCCTGTTGAGACAAACGAGGCAAGGCGACTTCGTTATCAGATTAGAGGGTCTCGATGGCGTGGTGGCTTTTCCGGCTAACGGTTAATTTTGGCATTTTTACGGCAAACAATTTTTTCAATAAGTTAAAAATTAATTTTGATTACTGTTAAACATATTTAAGGTTTGAGGACCATTTCGGAACGGAAAACTGATATAACTAACAAGCCACAAAACGAGACGCAAAAAAGTCTTGAAAAGAAATCTTGAGACTTTAGAATTAAAAATTCAAAACTTTCCGGTTTTTACGCTTTAAGACTGCATTTTATCCCGTGTGACGGCTAACGGTTAACTCCGTTAAGACCCTCTGATTACAATACATTTCGAAGCCGATTAGATAAGGTGAAATAATTTTCGTATCGAAAAGTAGAAATACACGTAGACTGCCCATGGCAAATGTCAAAAAAAGAAAACAAAATACCTGAAATAAGACACTGGTTGAATGCATCAACCAAAATATCTGCTCGAGGATGCCAAGCATCAACATTTTAGTTTAAAAAGACCAGCCTTAGCTCAAAGTGCAAATTCTCATTACGTACTGACATGCAATACTTTCAATAATAGTTTGAGAATTTCGTTGTATATCGAAACAGTAAATCCTGGATGATTTCTTTCGCTTGTCTGTGGTCCAGTGTTTGAAGAATTAAGGTGTCAAGGGATGATGTATACGAATGGTAAGGCAAGGCTTCAAAAGCCAAATAACTAAGGGAAAAATGACTGATAAAAATAATACAAAAATAAATACAAAAAAAAAAAAAAAGAAAAGAAAAAGAGAAAGAAAACATGAAGTTCATGCTAAACTCTCCCAATATTAATTTGTTGGTTCATTAGTGTCGCTTTTATTTATTTATTTAGATTTGAACATGGGATCGGAATAAATGACTCTGTAATTTGGGTCTGCAGCTAAGCATACTTCTTTAAATGTAAGAATACATAAAAGAGATTGCAACTATGAACAGTTGAACTGTGTTTATTCTCGTTACCGAAACCTATACATTAAAAACTTCAAAAGTTAAGTCCAAGCGTGGTTGATTCCTTTTTTACAAGGCTTGTCCCTTCATCGGCGATGCCAATATTCTATAAATAGCTGATATATTAATAACTCAGCCAACAAATAAACAGCTGCAAAATTTTGTATACAAACTACATATTTAAATACTTTCTGGTGATTTTTTTTTTAGCAAAGCAGTACAGAATTGACTTGTGGAAATAACATAACTACCTACTCTTGCTTCATTACAAACAAAGTATTTTTGAAAAAGCTGGGTTTGAAGCAAAATGCTTTATTTATATGATCATTGAGTGATCATTTCATTTCCTAGCATATTTCCTGTGCCATATTCATTATCTTAACTCTACGATTTGAGATTAATATTCAACATTGCTTTTCGATTTTAAGCCAATCTTCAAGTAGCCCCTTAACCCACTTGCCCTACTAACATAAGCCATCCAATAAGAAGAAAAATCTAGCGAATAGAAGGAAATCATTCATTACAACTAATAAAAAATGTTCAAATTAGGCCAACTTAAATAGCAATGGGAAGGATTTCAATATTCAAAGTTAATAAAAAACAACATGAAAATATGCTGGATAACAAATAACAATATCACTTTCTCTGCTGTTTTTATATGGAACATTTTAAATCACTACAATGCCTTCGGCGATTTACACAAAAGTAAAAATAAAACTAAAAAGAAAAATAATAACAATAAAGCAGTAAAAAAGGCAAAACAGTCGATATTGAAAAAAAATGAAGCTCGTCAAATTCTAAAACACTTAATTACTTAATTATTTACATAATCAACCTTCCTAATGATATTCAAATGAATTTCTTTTACACACTTTATCGTTCGAACTTAATCATCAGCTAAAATCCCTCCATAAAAAGACGAATTACATGAAACTTAGCTAGAACAAAAAAAAAAAATAAAAAAAAAAATAATAGTAATAAAATACAAAAACACCCGACAGCTTCGAGCGTTAGATAACCATGCACAGTTTTACGGTCTTCCTATCCAGTTGTGCTGCCAGATTTCGCAAACGACGAATGCGCACAGACGGTTTTCCCGCGTTAAAAACGCGGTAAAGATGAAGAGCGTTTTGTTTTTCCATTGCAAAACTAAGTTCTGGAACGGAAAGTTCAAAGACTTCTTTCTGATCAGAAGAGGTTGTCTTCACCTCAACAAATGTGATCACTGTGCGACAATTCTCGTCGTTTCCCATACCATTGAAATGTCGCCGAATCTCGATATCATATGGCGCAGTGGTATTCTCTCGTTCGTTCACCCAAATAATTTCCACTTCGGCACCTGCTTCGCTCTGAAGGAATTCAAACACGCATCGTTCTCCCCATCGACCGATTTCTTCTTTGTTTGGGTTGTCCACCAGCGGTATCCGATCCAAGATTCTCGTGTCACCATTAAAAGAGAGGTCTTCAAAGTCCAGTTCGGTTGTCCCAGCATCAAACCACAGATACGAGCGAGTAGGGGAAAATTGCTTGGCTAAACTTCCAGGGCTAGATGTGAAGCTAGCTTCTTCAGGTCTAGGTGTTTGTGGGAGCTGGGGTTCCACCTGTCCTGAATTGTGGTGGCTGTGCTCATCTTCACTGGGAGGTGAATCTACAATCCCTCCAATCGAATTGGTTTTGGGTTCGTTCTTCGCATTGCTGTTGAGCACCGTTGCTTCGGCTGTTGTTTCCCCGGAGCTTGCAGAGTGATACTGTCGAGGGATGTTTTCAACAGGCAGGTCACGCACTGAGACTGTGCTATCTTTCTCTCCAGGTATGTCTACGTGTTCTGTCGGTCTTTCGGTACTATTGTCATGTAGTGTAGGTCGTCCTTGGGCCTGATGTTCTCGGAGTTCCTCTTCAGGCTTCTTCACAGACTCCGGAGGTGCTGGCGGAGGCCACATCTTCAGCGTGCTTTCACTACCTGATTCCCCTTCGCGTTGACGCGTCTTATCATATTGAGCGGCAGATTTGGGTGGCCAGGAATGAAGACCATCGTCGCCGAACCTAGATGAGGTTGGTACTTCGGCGTGAAGGGGAGTAGCTTCAGTCGAAACTTCCTCTTCGACTTCAGCAATGTCAGGTTCGTCAGGAGGTGGCACGCTCCAAAGCTCTTCTTCATCAGGTAGTGGATCCAATCCTTGCCGCTCTCCAAGAAAGGACTCGAGATCATTTCCATCGTAATTCTTCACTGCAACCAAAAAGTTACTGAGGTCTGAAGAGCCCTGTTTTGTACCTCTCAGCAGCAGCTTCACCAACTCGGCATTTACGACATCGGCACTTTCCTGAAACTCTTTCACCACGTAAAAACAGAAGGTGGAACCCACCGACTGTACGCCAGACTTTTCTTCAATTGGAATGCGAACATCGGGATGTGTACTTAATGAATACACGGTTTCTAAACTTTTCACAGAGGCAAATTGCATCTGCAGCAGTTTCTGTGCAAAACCGTCACGGATAAGTTCATCGTAAACTGTTGGATTTCTGGAGTATAGGAAACGCTGTACAGATGGTATCATCTGGTGAAAGTGCTTCTGCAGTGGGACACATCGGTACTCCACTAACTCAGGGATAAACTCTTTCTTTATGCATTCACTTACTGGTTTTACTTCACAGGTCTTCAGAAACAACAAGACATTGTGTTGCAATTCTTCTCTGAGTTGTTGAGGCCTTCGAACGGATTGGCGATGCTTTTGAGGCTGAAAAAGGTTCCCGAAGTCCAGGAAATGGACGCTCTTCTCCTTCTGGAAAATCTTCAAAAGTGATTTGTCGTCGGGCAGTAGTGGCTTATCCGAAAGTGCAACCCACTTGTCGAAGGAGGGGAAAATACATTTCTGTTCCCTTTCCAGAGATTGCTTCAGAAAGTTAGCCATGTTATCGTCGATTTGCTCATCAACTCGCATGCTGTCGTTGTGGCCGCGAGCAACACACTTACGTCCCAAAGTTGCAAAAATCTTCAGCATATCATTCAACGAGGAAGGAGTAGGGAAACCAGCAACTTTAGCCACGGTTGATGCCATTTCGATGTATTCATCAACTTTGGGTGTTTCGTCCACATGTAGTTGATCAATGAAGAAACGCACTAGACTTTGTTGTTGGCTTTCTGGGATACTGTAGTGCCTCTCCAGTAAGCGTCTTGTGGTTACCTCTCCGTGTTCCTTAAACAGCTTCAAAGCCACTTCTGTAGGGTCTCGCCAGCACACATCCTTCTTCAACAGAAACGAACCATATGCTTGGCGTGCCGGATCGGTGGAAGAGTCTGGATAGCGGTGAGGGACAAATATCAGCGCATTCTTATGAAAAGCATCGTTTATTTTTCTCCTGTCTTCACCATTCTGGGCCATTTTCTCGGAAAGAAAGGAATAGACTCTGCTCATGTGGGCAACGGAAGTTGTGAAGTCCCTGGGTTGACTTCCATCTACGGTTTCACCGCAAGCAGCTGACCACTGCTTCATTTCGTTGATCATACCATCCACACCGACCGATTCTCGAATGCGTAAAGTGCTAATAAAAGCATTGCTCTTTAAGTCCGCAGCAATGTATTTTACGTGATCTTCTAGCAGCTGGTAAACTAATGGTATCTGCATGAAGAGGTCCCTTGGCAGAAACAGGTCGATTCCTCCAGCGCTGGCTGCCATCCATGGCCTCGAGACAAGATTCAGGTAAAAGGACGATCGCGTTTCTGTTAGAACGTGGCCATTTGTATCTTTGACATGAACTGAACCATCAGCGTACTTTGCGTATTTGTCATCCCAGCGTTCATCAATACATTGAGCCAGGACCTTAGACTCCTCAGGATTTACTCGTTGCTTTGCATCGGAAGCGTCAATCTTACCAAGAAATTCTTCAAACTCTTCACAAACCCAGTCATCGACTATGTAATAACCATCTGGAGTTGTTTGCCAAATGGGTTCGTAAGTAGCCCAAGGAGACTGAGCCTGGGAAAAAAAACCAACAACAACAAAACACATTTTAGTGATTATTGTTGACCATCAAGATGCAGAAAGTACTCCCCCACCATTGTTTTTTTTTAGATTAAGTACTTCCCTGGTATGTGCATGCAAATCGTTAAAAAAAGGTTATTGCTACTGGCGGTGACCTTTCTATTTGAAGTCATATTGTACTAAAGTTATTTGATAATTCCACAAATTCGCCGACGGCATCCGCAATTTTACATTACAAGGTTTTGGCACGATGCAAAACAAAGAAAAAACAAACAAAACAAAACAAAAACAAAAAAACCCTTGATCAATTCTTCATGTTATCGGAAATACAACCAGGCATGCTAAGACTACATTTGGATATCTTATTCTCATGTCAGTGGTAATTTATGAGCTCACCATGCTGTCTCGATGCAGTTTAACTTGCTTTCTTTTGATCGCCAGAAAATGCTGTACTCCAAGCTCGGTGAGAAACGCTTTCCAGTCCTCGGGACGAGCCTTTGATATTGTACACGAATCCAAGTACGATTCATCAAGAAGAGTCCAAGAGATACCTTGGTGGCAAGGAAACAAAGAGTTACACAACAACATAACAAAAAATTGCGCAAAATAAATATCAGCATGGCGACTTCTTTCGACTGAAGACAGAAAGAAAATTCAATCGACCCTTTCCAAGAACCAATAACATCTTACATCTGTCATGTTGGACCGCAAGTTGGGCACTGGGGCATCCAAAAGAAAGGAACTCGCACCTCTCAAGATTCACTTTCTTATATTTTGGATGCCCCACTCCTTAACTTTCGGTCTAGCATGGCTGATTTTGCACCATATCACCGGGTAGTGCAGAGTGCCTTGAGGAGGGATGGCAACAGACAAACGTAAGTTTATAAGTAAGTGACTTACTGGGTAAGTGACGAGCGAGGTCAATGGAGTTTCCGTATTTGGGTGTAAAATAAATTGGTGTTACTGTAGGGTTCACAACACCCTTGTTGGTCAAAATCTGTACGCAGGATCTCAGTTCGTCGATGTCACACACGGAAGGATCGGCTATACGCTGCGCAAGGATGTACACGAGATAGCTCCTCAACACTTCGTTCGACTTGACCTGCAAATCACAAAGGACATATATGTTAGGAATGCGGGAGTTTGCGACATACTCATCTGGAACTTGTGCATATGCCCATACCAATGAAAGCAAAAAATTGTTCAGTTATCAGCCGATCAGAGATAGGTCATTCATATTTTCAGCGCTAGTTACCACCCCGTACAATATCCTGATAAAGTGCATCGCTTATCATTGCATTACAAATGCTTTGAATTTTTTGGCTTTATTATATTCTTCCGACCGTTCTGGAAAACTGCTATGGACTGAGGGTTAATGAGCGGGAAATATCCTGATGAAACAATAACACTTAAACCAAACACTCTATTTACAACAATGTTCCGCTTTGACACCAAAAAACAATTTTGAAGGAGAATGAACTGACAACTTTAAATCTCGGGTTAAAGTTTACATGATTTTGAGCTTGTCGGCTCCTGATGCTAAAGAGTGTGGATTGTAAGTACACGAATTCATGTGTTACCTTCCATTTGCCAGACTTGAAAGTTGGAATAATGTGACTGTTGATAAGCTCTCTTGCGCTCCAACTCTTGACTCCTAAGCGTCTTAACAATTGTTCAACTTGAGAACGACCAATATCATCCAGTGAAGAGAACAGAGCTGGGTGGACAGTGGACAGATCCCTCTCAAGTACAGTGAAACAAGTCTGTTCTTGGGATTTGGCACCTAAAAAAATGCGACGTAATACAATAAACAATGAAGGGACGAAAGAGCTGTAGAATTTAAGCAAAGCTGTGAAACGGCAAAGTAATCGTGTTGGCGTTCAAAATGTTTTCTAGTCTGGTCCAAGGAAACCATTTCTATGAAATGGGCGCTTACAAGAAACTTAAAACGCAACTTTTCGAACACCGATATCGCTTCACGCACTGCATCACAGATCGTGACTGCATCACGAACCGTGCTTAGAAGAAATGGAATTGATCGACAACTGATGAATTGAACTTTTATTTCAGCTCCAACATGAAAATACTCATACCTTTCGTTTTCTTTGGGACAGCTCCTTCTGAGGTTTTCTTCATTGACAAAGGCAGGAAAACAGAATCCCCCTTCAGATTCACAAACGAACCATCTGTCAGTGGAATCACGTTAAGAGAGCCAATCAGATCCAGCATTTCCTGACTGCTATTTCGCTCCTGCTCAAGACAGCGATACATGCACTGCAACCATTGAGCCACCCAGCCTATCCTTACAATAGCCGGTCCGCGGTCGTCGTCATGAGGCGCAGCCGCACTGTGCTCAGCTGAAGCTTTTTTCACTTCCGCCTTCCCAATCTCAATCAAGTGCTTGCTGGATAGAGTCTCAATTCCAAGTCGGGATCTCAGAGTAGGATTAAGAGCTGGCACCATTACTGGATGGAGGTAGCTTAAACCCAAGTGTTCCTGGAGCAATGTTGGGGTGATAAGCTGCTGCGTCGTCCTGTCTTGGCAGTAAACGGCCTTGCAAGGTAGAACCCACTCGTAGTTGTTTAAAGTGTCGCAGCGATTGTGTGGTTGTTCACTTTCTTCGCTGGTCTTTTCTACGGGAATGCAAGGCTTTCCTTGTAGAAGTTTCAGAATATGGCGAGCAACAGGTGTAAAGAAATCTAGAATTTCCTCATCAAGGGGGACAAATTGAAAGTATGAAGCCACCGAGGACAGACCAGAAAATGACGAGTGGTCCTTTGAAAATATAAGAAAGGGAAATCAGTTCGTTAGACACTTTCAAAAGCCTCGGCGCATGTATGAAAATTAGGACAACTAAACATGCGCCTAAAATGAACTACAGTAGCATAATCGACTCAGAACGCAATGGCGTTGACCGCAAATGCGTAGAAACTAACTCCTATTAGCTGTTTTACTTTTTTAACAAGTAGGGACATGTTGGTCTGTTTCAAGCATGATGGCTGATAAACTGAATTTAATAATGCAATACACTTTTCATTGGTTTTACTAGTGGAAAGTATAATGTCTGGGGCTTAGCAAGCTTAACTAAGCTAGGATAAGCATCTGTAATGCCAGTTTTGATATCAAACATTCGATGTTTTTAGTCTTACGTTTTCACTTGAACCAATCTCTTACTCTACTAAACCTTGAGATTGATCGTTTAAACAATTTTACACAAACAAAATTATACACAAAAGAAATTAAAGCCTTGTTTAACTTTTGGTACTGGATTCGCGTTAGTTGTCGGGCAACCTGGCCGTGGGCGGAGAGATAGAGAGGCGTCCTACGAGAGTGAACAGACTTAACTGTCCAAGAGGACATCACACAAACACAACTTGAATTGCGGGCGCAAAGTACCAAAATTTGAATCCCGCGTCCATGAATTTAATCTAGTGAAACTCAAATGATTAAAAGATTTTAACTCTGTCTTACTCACCATGAACACAGAAAGAGCGTCAATAAAGAGCTGTGGAATCTCTTCTCTCAGCCACTGATTCCAGGATTTGTCGCTGTCCACATCCTCTCTTGACGAAGGAACTTCGAAATCTCCTTGAATAATGAACCGAAAACCGTAACTTCTGAGAGGAAGGTAAGCAAACACATTCTGCTGTGGCAAGGTCTGCAGAAAGTAGGATAAAAATGCAAAATTCAGTCAGTGTTCTCTTTCTCTCCTCTTGTGTTAAGTCCATTCATACTTTATTCTTCTTTCAAGAGTTGGTGTGTGAGGTGGTGGAAGGAAGCACTCGTCTAAGAACGAACTCAGAGGGGCATTGCCTATATTTTGAAAAAAGTTCTCCTCAAGTGCAAAGATCCATCGCAAAGAACACAACAAGAAGACATTGGATTGTAGGATGAAGATCTACGCGTCAATAATTAAGTTAACAATCATCTAGATCTCTGGCAATAAGTCATTGCATTTTACCTGATGTCGTTTTCCCAAGTTTGCATTTTTGTCCAAGTCACCAAACAAGGGGAAAGCCATCGCCAACTCGGTCATCTCTACGTCTTCTTTCATCTAGAAAAGAGGTCGAAGAAAACCAAACATTCTATGAGCTACTGTTCCTCCAGCAGCAAAATAGTTCAGGACATAGAACAGCAAATAGCAGTAACACATAATAAGATGACTAAATATGACGAAAAATGGGAAAAACTCTTAACTTGTAATTTCATCTAAACTCTCGACATTGTTTCTTGAACCCCCTCTCTCGAAAACGTATTGTAAATAAGACTCCGTTGTATGTAACGTATTGTAAGTAGTTTTCTGTGAGTAATGTAATGTAAGTAATTTACGTATATGTAGTGTACGTTTAGTAATGTAATTTATTGTAACTGGTCTATTGTAAGCAACACACTGTAATTCGGTATCTGTAAATAAAGTGCCGTAAATCCTCGCGTTAGCGCCCGGGGCGCTTATTTCAAATTTAGGAGTAGACGCGGGGCTCTTATTCGAGGGGGCGCTTAATCGAGGGGGGCGCTTATTTAATTTTTCCCAAATCGTGGCCTGACGTGATAATTTTTTTACTAGGTCATCTGCACGTAAACAACAACATAAGGTGTTTATCAAAATAAAAAGCTGATCCCAAAGTTTAAATCGTGGCACCGTTAGTACTTAACGTGTTCAACGTGTTCACTTAACGTTTTCAGAAACTGAAACAATGTACAAATCTAATACTACATGACGAAAACTATACAACCTTTGTTGTCTCATAGGAGAGGGGGCGCTTATTCGAGGGGGGCGCTCATTTTAAATTTCGGCCGACAGGAGGGGCGCTTATTCGAAGGAAGGGCTTATTGGAGGTTTTACGGTATTGTTACAAGTTAAGTGCAGTAAAAAAATAATAATAATATGCATGAAAAACTACTCGATTCTGATTGGCTGAGAGCAGTGCAGTTCAAGTGTAACACCAGTGCAAAAAGTGTAACACCGGTGCAAAAAGTGTAACACCAGTGCAAATTACACGTCGTAATTCTGAATTATGATTGGCTGAAAGACAATAGGAAATTTTCTAAGCCAATGATATCACATAAAATGATAATGACAATTTTGTGCGGAAACTTTGAAAAACGTTTTCACGAATGAGAAAACATGGCTTCAACAAAAATCTTCCTGTATTTCCTCCACGCGAATCAAGAACATGGACAACAACGAACAGAAATACAATGTAACAACAATAACAGACAGAAAAACAACAACAACAACAGCAACAACAGCTACAGCAACGATTAGCACTACATGGGAATCTCACATTCGATGCATCAAGCTGTTTCTTTATCACAAGCCAGCGGTCTGTGCCTTTATTGTGTGACACCTCCATAATGTTATCTCCCAGGTCCCTCCTCACCATTTGACGGTAGCTGTTGTTAACCTACAAGTATAAAATTGGAAAGTTTTACGCCATCTCCTCGGAACTAGACAAGGAGGTAGTAGTTACTGAATTGTCCTCAATTGACAAAGACTGCACAAATTTATTGTATTTACCCCGGTGTATCAACTTTGAAGTTTTGTCTGTTAGGTCTTTCAACTTGCCAAACAAAGTGGTATGACTTATTTTCTCTTTCCAGCCTCACTTCTTACCTTATCTTGTATGAAGATTCCTCTCAAACGATGCAGAAATAGCAGAAGCGAAGGATGGACGTCACGGAATCTGGCGGCGAGTGAGGACTTCTGGATACCTTGATGTTCCTCTTTCAGTGGCAAAACAATACGAGTTGGCCAGCTGCCGAGAAAAAAAAAACGAACTTCCTTACTAGCTATCTCGCTTGCTCACCAGATGTGTTGCACTTACGACAGCAAAAAAGGATTAGTTAAAAAAAATAATAATAATAATAAAAAAAAAAAAAAAAAAAAACTCAACGTGAAATTCGTCGTGAGGTCACGAATTTTTCTATAGAATCCAAGTTTACCTGCCAAATTCCTCTCCAACACTGTCAGGTACTTCATGATCAGCATCACCCTCTCCAGTGTCTTCAAGTCCGTCGTCTTCGTGTTCTGATGTATCGTTATCTGGACACTTCTCTTCAATCCACTGGGGTAGTATGTAGCCAACAGGACCGCTTTTGGCGTCAAAACGAATGTGATAACCATTGGAATGGACTTCCGGACTATCACTGACCCGGAAAACCGACTTGAAACCGATGCCTTTTTGCCCTAAAACAGCCCATAGAATTTCAGTTTAACCACGAGTCATAAAAAGCTAAATTCGTCTTAAAACAACACACACAAAGATTATATGCCAGCAAATATTGTGTTTGATAAATATGGAATAGCGAAACCAAAGGAAATTACAAGGAAACTAAAAGGACTTGCAAACTGACACAACAAGTCTCCATATTGTGTCTGTATTTTAGACTTCGTTTGCCGTTGACTTGCTTTCTTGTCCACAAAGGTTCGAACCTTTATTATAGAAATCTGCTGTGCGAGGTGAGTGCAGGCACAAAGTCAAATCCCTGCGCCTGCTTTCACATCGCTCTTCTTTGAGAGCAGAGAGATGCAAGCCCGTACACTGCATATCAAAAGTTCAGACTGAAAAACAACAATGACTGAAAAACACGTTTATCTCTCACGACGACGAATGTGATTGCTTCGTAAGATTTCGAATAAGACCATTTAGTGGTTGTCGCGTTCCCCCAGCCTGTAATTAGTCTTATTCCGTCGGCTTTCAGTCACAATTTGGACATTTTCTTCGTCGAGGCGAGTACCGGCCAATAGACCATTTTCGCATTCTCGGTATTGGACTGGAACTAGCCTGCAATAGAGGCTTATGCGGGGGAATATCATTAAAAAGCGACAAATGTCATTTGCATTTGAAAAGACTCCCCGCATTAGCCTCACTTGCAAGCTAGTTCCAGTCCAATACCGAGAATACGAATATGGTCTAAAAAGGAAACTAAGCTAGAACTAGGTATTGCATAAAATAAAAGTACGACTACAAACCAATATATCCATAGCGATGGGCTCCTTTGGTACTCCTGCCAACATCACATAACGCGCGGATATTCTTCTCCACAAATCCAACTTCGTTGTTCAGTACCACAATCTTGTCCCGCTCAAGGACAAAAACGAGGGACGGGAATTCCGCGCCCGTGCACTGCTCGGGATAGCAGTTATCGTCCGCATTCTGGACAAGTTCCAGCACAAAGTGCGTGTCCCTGGTGTACAGCTCCGTGGACAGCCGATGTAAGCCACGCCCTTCACGTTCTCGCTGTCTCTGAACGAGTTTGGACTCCTCTTCTCCGAGCTCTAGCCCGATTCCAAAATCCTCTCGACGAATTTGCTCGATGACTGCCCTGCATTCCTCTTCTTGTTCTGTGGATTGTGGTGGGGATTTGTCTGCAGTGTCTGAAGTTACTGCTGGCGTGAAACAATGAGATACTCTGTGATTAGCTTTCAGGCTAAGGGATTAAAAGCGATGTGTATTGAATCACTGCAAATTATGTGAACACAGTTTGACCAAAAGTTCATTAATATAGAGACAAACTAATAATCTAACGAAATACGTGTATTGAAGACGGCTTGTACAAGAGAACAAAGGAAGTCGGGAATCAAGAACGAGACAAAAGGGAAAACATGCGATTAAACGAAAATGTAATGATACCTTCCTCATCTTCATTGATATTAGCACTGTCTTCAATCAGAATGTCTGTCACGACATTTTCCTGCTCGTTTAAAGAAATCTGTAAAATTGAACAAATAATAACATTGAATATTGGTTTTCATGAAATAATAATAATACTAAAAAATACGACGACATGGTTTTGTAATTACACAGCAGGGATCGCTAAAAGAAAAAAAAAATGCAGGGTACATGTAAACGAACTGATTCAGAAACTTAGAGATGTATAATGTAACTTAATAACTTCAATAAAGATATTTTATTTGTTAAGTTATTGCATGGAATCGATTTTAAGGGAAAGTTGTTTTTTCCCTTATTAAAATAGCATGAGCCCTGACATGGGTTATTTAAAGCGATCGTCAGCCGATGGACGATGAAGTTACGTTAAGTTTCTCCACAACATAGTCAAGAACCAAGCATTATCGACACTCGTTGCCGACCGTACTTCACAATTTCCCTTACTATAATTAACGAACTGACGATTAGGAACGATAAGAAACGATAAAGAACGATTAGGGACGACGAGGGTCGATTAGGGATAATTAGAAACGACTAGGAACGATAAGAAACGATAAGGAACGATGAGAAACGACTAGGAACGATAAGAAACGATAAAGAACGATTAGGAACGATTACAAACGACTAGGAATGATAAGAAACGATAAGGAACGATAAAGAACGATTAGGAACGATTAGGAACGATAAGAAACAATAAAAAACGATTAGGAACGATAAGGAATGATTAGGAACGAAAAAGGAACGACTGGGAACAATAAGGAATGATAAAAAACGAACAAACCTACCTCTGAAGACTGCGAGATCTCCATCTTCGACGACGCAACAGGCCTGACCACAGCAATCGGCCTCTGGTGTTCTTTATCACTATACAAATCAAAGGGCAAGCCCTCATCTGCCTCCTCTCTGCGTGAAACTCTATTCTGGAAGTCTTCTATCCACTGACTTATGCCAAGGGCAAATCCCAGCTGATGAAGGCGGCTGCGTTGAGACTGGGTCGAGCAGTTTGAAAGAAGAAGAGATGGCGCTTCAGTCGAGCCAACAAGCTTCTTCAAAGGCTCAAGAAAAACCTGAAGAAATGAACACCTTTACGCAATTAGGAAACAAAGATGGCAGACAAAGACAAAGTACTAACTACCGATTGCCATAAATTCCAAAAAATTCAGAAGAGCTGCTAGGGCAAACCATTTTTCCTTTTCTGTACGGAACTACAAATGCGGCAACCAGATCGTCTCACAACGTACTGCAACTACAAGCCCAATGAGTGTTATATTTCCATGTTAAATAAATCAACTTCAATTTTTTTCCGTCTCAAGCTTGAAATATGACTTCGTTTCATGGATTGTCATGCAGTTGTTTAGTTCTGAGAGTTTGTTGACACATCAAGACAATATTTCAATAAAGCAACAAAAGGTAAAGTTCGCTTGGGCTCAGGAGGTCCACACAGCGGGAGTTCATTCCGATTTCTCTAGCGACTCTCCCCTGAATTGGCTGCCGATCCAGCGCTGGGTTACTACCAAGCATTGAATTCCCGGGTGACATTTGCACATCTGGGTGGAGAGGGGCACGATGAGAGTAAATTTTCGCGCGCTAAGCGTTAGCGTAACAAAGATCCTTTAAGAATTCTTAAAAGCACACCTTTGTTCCAATTGCACGGGCCAGTCTGAGCGGCATACGAGCCAAACACTCCAGAACAAAAGCTGAACGATGATCACAGCCGTCCTTATCATCTGCAACCATGGATGCTAACGAAGAATGCACGTGATTGGCTAAAAGAGCGACAGGGGTATTAGCAACTCCCCCATTCACTATCACCATAGAAACCAGATGACCAGCGGCTCCAATCGTGTCTCCTCGACATGCGCACTCCTTAAACATTTCAGGAGATGTGTCGGTAGTGACCCTTACGAGAACTCCCGGTGATGTTTCCATGACAACCAGTGGGCTCTGGGTTTCCAGCGATGACTTTCCAGCGCTTCTAAGGATCCCCTCGCTTTCCAGAAATGACTTAAGATCGCCGAGTTTGGAAACATCACCGCCATAAACTTCGTCCCAGTGAGTCCAGAGTGAAATGTCCTCAAGCAGCGGAGTGCTTTGTATGGCCTCTAACGCTTCCTCTTTGGTCTTGTATCCCAAAACACCGCCATTGTGCGCATCTGAACTCACGCTACCTGAATCTTTCATGTCAGGGTCGTGACGCATGAGGGCGGCTTCGTAAACCATCGAGGGAGCACTGATTCTTGCTGCATTCTTTTTTTGCTCTGTGGCTTTTTTCAGCAGGTTTGAACAAGAACCAAATCCAAGATCCGTCACTTTACTAACACCGTAATAACTGCACAGATTCCGCTCAATGGTCTCCTAACAGAAACAACAACGATAGAAATGAGAAAAATTGAAAGGGATGTTCAAGGTAGAGGGTTCTGTTGTTATGCTAAATGTTTTTCTTGTAAGACATTGCATTCATATCGAAGGATACTCCAACCTCGTGGTAGGGAGAAGAGACAGAACCAAATGACTAATCCCCCCTCCCACCCTCCCGCCCGCTTATCAATTACAACATTTGAAATGTATATTTAGCAAATGGATAAAGACATGGTCATTTTCGCTATCAGATAGCGTTAGGCTCGACATTGACGGGAAACCCACAGACGAGAAGAACAGAACAAGGTCTTTAATTTCATTAACGTTTAAAACTTACAAGAGATGTTTGCGTTCCACATTGTGCTATAAAATCCAGGACACTATTAAGGGAGACTTTATGACCAAGTTTCGTTCCCAATCTCCCTGACCGAGCCATGCCACCAACTTGTTCAATGGCTTCGAGCAGTTCTTTGTGTTTCGTTAAGAATTTCAGAAAAGAGCCATAACCGAAGTCTTCAAAACCATTGAACCCTGGAAATTTGTTCACAACAGTTCCTTCAATTATTGCCAACCTGGCAAGGTCCACGTTATCAGCGTTCATCAGCCACTCCTTCACTTCTTGGACAATTGCACCTATTAAGAAAACTAGGATTAGTAAACGAACTGTACCTGAGAATGTTTATGCTGGTCTCTCAAATGAGCTGGGCTAAATAGTGCTATGATCATTTTTGCCTACATTCAGCTAGACATCTTGAAGTAAAAATTAAAATCTAACAAATTTATTAACGACTAAATCTTACACTTAATTATCTCAATGCAATCCATATTCTTTTTTTCTAATCCAGTTTTGACTTCGGGGGAGCTTCAATGCGTTGTTTGTTTGTTCGATTTGCACATCCACAGTTTTAAATAAACCTGGATTTCCACCTTCGCGTCACTTATTAAACGCAGTACCTTAACACGAGTGAATTTAGTTTTTCGCCCGTAAATGCGTGTGTGAAAAACGTGCCGATATTTTTTGCCCGTCAACGGAAAAAAAAAAATAATAATAATGACTTAACGTGCTTAAAATAAATTAGAGATGTGCAATAGATAACTCTCGTATAAACTGGAAAATTAAAGAAATCAAACCTTCACTGGGTGGGACAGGCCGTGTTTCCGCCTCACGGCTATTCGCCTCGTTTATAGTGTCTTGCACTTTTGAATCAACTTCACTGGCAACTAGCTCTTCAAGCGCGTCTCCAAGTAGGCGCTTGCAACTCATAGAGAGAGCCAGCTGAAATAAATTCCTCCCAAGCGAATCCTTAGTAATCACGGTTAAAAACTTTGTAATCTCTTTTTCCCGTTTGCCATCAAACATCTCCAGGCAACAGTCGAATACTGCGTTCAGCGCATCAACAGGAGAGGTTTCAAGAAATTTCATTACACAGCTCCTCAAGTCACCAAGCTCTTGTCCAAGAAGATCTTTCTTGATTTTTCGAATTTGTTTCTTTATGTCTTCTTCCAGGTCGATAGAAACTTCTTCACGCACAGTTTTCCATTTCTCACTCTCGCTGTGTTTGGCCTTTTTAATCACCTAAAAACACAGTCAACAACTCTATTAGCAAACATTATAGGACAAAAAAAAGTGTCTCCATGACGAACCTTCCTTTGCCAAAGACAGTACAAAGAAGTATACAGGAAAAGGCAAAGTCTGTTTAATTTATAATTTACGATAGGCCAAAGTGGAGCTTATCCCAGTTTACGGTGACTAGTAATAATTTGCGTTGCCCAAATATGTGGAATGGTTAGCGCCCAGCATTAATCGTCACGCTGCCTTGGCATTTCACTGGTCCCCCTACCTCAGGCGGTAGTCCAAAGCGCTGTGAGAGTAAAGTGTCTTGACCCCGTTTAAGAGTGGGACATACATACAGACATGCCCAGACATGAACCAGACCCCTTATTGCTAACCACCCGACGAACAGATTTACACAAAATATGAGCTTCATGCAAAACCTGTCATATGAAAATAGGTTTGATTTACATGAAAATGAACCTCTCGCCGGTTTGCACGTCAAGACTCAGAGGACAAAGAGGAAAAAGCCAACTCGGAAACGGCCTATTGTAACAAAGGACGTTGTTTACTAGAGAATAGATGAACTAAAAGTAAAAGAAAGTTGAAAAAAACCATGATTACAATAACATTACCGAAATGGCCAATCCAATGCTTTGAATCCTCACTCCAAGCTCGTATGGAGTTTCGCAGCGATACTCTTCACACAAGTACTCCATGAATCTTGCTAAATCCACTTTCTTCCGCCACAAGTCTTCCCTGGTCATGTACTTCTCCAAATGCTTTAGAATCTGAATGGTGGTTATATGAGGCAGCTCAGCGAGATCAGTTGGTGCTTTAAACATGTCATATACCACAGGCTGTTGGACCAGGGGACCTAGCTTGAGATCTTCAAAGTCTGGCTGGGATCCCAGGTCTGCAAGACTCTGGTTTAATTCGTACAGAGTAGAAATACTGTTTGACATGACGTAGGCATGCACGAATAAGCTGACCTGGTGGGGAATGTAAAATTGTTAGAAAGAATACTCATAGACTGTCTAATATTTGAAACTGAAGTACTGAGACAGGTGGGGAAAGATGAAAAAAATTGCCTTTTTTAAGGAAACAACAGGTTGCTTCCCATGTCTGTGCTTCTACAAGAAAGAAAGAAAAGTGACAATTTGTGTTTGCTGTGAATAGGCAATTTCTTTTCTTTTCTTTCTTTTTTTTTCTTTTCATTTTCTGAATTAAGGATTTATCATTTCCTCACCCAGTGCAGGTAAACAAAATCAATGAAAAGCTTATGTTTGCTATAATTAAAACGCATCACTTCAGGGGTGAACCATTTGATTTTTTAGCGGTGTGGGGGTGGGAGACTTGGTTCATAGTTATGTAATAAAAAGACTAAATGGGATACAAATACATTATGATCCTCTGCACAATATTGGTGCATCAGTACCAGATAATTTTCAGACACTCACTTTGGCCTGCATCTGAATTAGTTCATTGAGGGCGGGAATGTCCTTGTCTCTTTTGATGCCCATTGTAGTGAGACTTGATTTTCCAAATTCTTTGCAGAGTTTGGCCTTTACAACCTCAAGACAAACAAACTGACCTTCCTCCGACAAAGATGCAATGATATCTTCTGCTGCCCTATTAACCTCATGAAGAGAAACATTTCTTGCAGACTTTGCTTTGGGTGAATTGGAAACCATTACATGTTGGGCATGAATAATCGAGTTTTCTAATGGGCCTGGAGTTCCAACTTCTCTAATTCGTGCATCTTTGAGGTCTGGTGGAGAGAAGTGGGCATTTCCTTTCACTGCAGTGGGCGTGCCCATCTGTTGCAATAGCTTTTCATACCCAAGACGTGGAGTAGAGGGACTCGCACCAGCAAGTTTTTCCTCTTCAGCTTGCTGCTCCATTATTTCACGGAGAGATAAAGCCGTGGCCTGTGCACTTCCAGCATTAATTGTTTCTGCTCTTTGCGGTGGTGTCATTTGCATTCCTTGAGTAAAACCTGGAAAATGAATGATGATAAGTTCAAATTATCACAGGCAGGAATGTTGAAATTTGATTAAGGTTAATAATTGACCTATTTCCAGGTCTTGGCAGTTTCAAGGTTGCTTGGGCTTGAAGCAATATAAGAGTGCCTGAGACATATCCAGTACATACATAAGATTATGCTGGTCAGTATCATTTGTCAGTCATCAAGAAAATCTGTGAAAACCCTTTTTTTGTGCTGATATCGTTCATATGTCATACTTCATTATAGACATGCAATCCAAGACTCTCAAAAACAAAGATTGCAGAATTACACACTCTGAACTTGGGATTGCGGAACACCTCAAAACTGAATCAGGAACCTTAGTTTAGGTTTTCATTTTGTTTTTTGTTTTAGTTTTCAAATTTTCTTTCCTGTCACCTTCATATGGGGATTCTCAACTCTGTCCCCCCCCCCCCCCCCCCCCCCC